AACATAGTCAGAAATATGCCAGAAAAAGGCTCATGTGTGGCAACCACCACTGCCACAGCTTAACAGTCCACACCAAAGCTTCCATCTCCAACCCTGAATACTCCTCTGCACAGCCACCACTGCTGTCCCTGGACGCTCCATGGTGCTGCCTCTGCTGCCACTATCAGTGTTCAGCTGCCAGAATGGTTTCTCTGCAGACCCTGCTTCAAAGGCCAAGTCTAGGCCATGTGCCAAGACTTGTGCTCAGGCTCCGAGGGGCTGGGCAAGCAAATATTTGTCGATTTCTTATCCTATTATGATAACTGAGCAGTTTCTCACTGAAGCTCACAATATGAGGAATTATCCACAACTAAGGAGGAGGTTCAGATGATGGGCAACCAAAAATAAAACAATGATAAATGTATACAATCCCTTGATTACCACAAAAGCCTTCTCAGTGACGTCCCTGCTTTCAGTCTTGCCCTCCTCTTCCCCTGATTCTGGCCCCAAGCCAAGCTGCAATCACTTATCTTTCTAAAACGCAACTCTGGTGATGTTTCTCACATACTTTACAGGCTCTTTTCAGTCTTCTTGTCTCCCAAATAGCCATATGATTAAATTCAGGTTCTTCACAGGGCTTCAGGTGCCCTCTCACCCCCCCTTCCTGCTTTCTAACCTTATCTCTGGCTATTTTCCCCAAAATGGATAGATTTCTGTTTAACTGAACCTCTCTGAGTTAGCTGTGTCTGCCATGCTCTCTCTGGGAGTCAAGTCTTTGTATATGCTTCTGCCAATATCCACCTTACCGCCCGACTCTTCCTCATCCTTCACATATCATCCTTTAGGCTACATCTCTTCTATAAAACTTCTCCTGATCCTAACCCTGTTGTCCGTCTAGGTGCTAACATAGTGCTTTGGTCTGTCATCATAGTACTTGACACACTAAATTATATATGCTCATTATGTATTTGTATCCCTCTTAGACTATTATGTCCGATGAGGGCAGAAACCTTGTCTTCCTCAAACTTATATCCCAGCACTTACACTGCTTGGCACGTGGGAGATACTCCACAAATACACTTTGAATGGGAGAATCTCTTCTTTGTAGTACATCTCTCCCAGCTTCTGGTTTCAAACCAGAAGAAAGGTTTTCAAAGGTTTTCAAACTCAGGGAAAAAGAGATCAGACTTGGGGTTACCAGAGGCAGAGGGGAAGGGAGGGGGAATTGGAGGAAGGTCAAAAGGTACAAACTTCCAGTTATAAGATAGAAAAGTACTGGGAATGTAATGTGCAACATGATGACCATAGTTAATACTGTCGTATGATACATAGGGAAGTTGTTAAGAGAGTAGTAAGTTCTAAGATTTCTCATCACAAGGAGAAAAATTTTTTTCTTTGTTTTGTTTTTATTGTAACTGTATGAGATGATGGATATTAGATGAACCTATTGTGGTAATTATTTCACAATATATGTAAATCACACCATCGTGCTCTATGCCTTAAACTTATACAGTGATGTATGTCCATTATTTCTCCATAAAATAGGGAAAGAAAGAATCAAAAGTTTTGTTTCAGTTATCCACCTGGATGTTCACCTTAGCCTATTCCAAGATAGGTTGACGCATAATGTTTCCCAGTCTCTCTCAGCACTGAGTTCAATTTAAAAAATGCATTTCTTTTACACCAAAGAAAAGTGTAGCTTCTCTTCCAAGGAAAATTAAATTTTGCAAGAAACAAAATATGGCCTGTTTTGCCTTTAGTACACAAACACACTTTTAGTCCAAGAGCCTCTCTCTTCCCACCTTCACGTCTCTTCTGGGTTCATATTGCCTGATGACTTATCTCTTCACAAATTGTAAGAGTTGATCCTGACCTTGGCCTCTCCTGAACCATCTACCACATTTGCAGACTGAGGGGCCACTTGTCCTTAGGGGCTCTGTACTGAGAGAAACCAATTTACCTTCTCAGGACAAACTAGGAAAGGCTTTGAAATAGTGACAGAGAACTGATGTCCTTCCAATGGAATAGTGAATGGGTCTGGTGGACCTTCCAGGGTCATCGATTCTATGGGAGTCTATGCCTTTCATTATCTTTAACTAGGCAATTTTACAATTTGGAAAGTTGTAGAAATCTGGTAGCAATGCAAATTATACTTAAACATAGATATACAAATGATTTTTTTCCAGTAGAAATATTATTAACTTGTACTCTATAGAAATGACTCCAAACATTACATTTTACTGCTCTATAGATAGTAACCAGTTTCAAATCTACTAGTAAATTTATCTCAGCTTTCCTGATTGCCCACACATGTGTCTAATCTTCAGTCTCCTTCAAAATCTTTGTACATCTCACTGTTTCCCTCATTAATTAATTTGATGAAAATAAAATCTTGGATACATGTTTATTTTATATGTTTTATATTTGCCATGATTTTGCCTTTTCAAAATCATGCTTTAACTTCCTTTTTCTCAGGAACAAAAGGTATTCAAGGGCCAGCCCCGGTGGCCTAGTGGTTAAGTTCGGCACGCTCCACTTGGGCGGCCCAGGTTCTGTTCCCCGGCACAGACTCATTTGTCAATGGCCTTGCTATGATGGAAGCTCACATACAAAAAGAGGAAGATTGGCAGCAGATGTTAGCTCAGGGCTAGTCTTCCTCAGCCAAAAAAAAAAAAAAAAAAATTCAAATATTCAAAATACACCAAATACAACTTTTCTCCATATATGGGCTACATTTGAATAATCAGTAAGGATTCAGGATGGTTCCATCCTGAACCACAGACAGGATAAAGGAATTAGAGTAATGTTTGGGTTGATAAAGAGGGGGACAATGACAAGGCCATTCTAACGGATTTGTAAGATTTACCCGGAGAATAGTGGGAAATACAGTTTAGTAGGTAAGGTATGACTAGAACGTGGAGAATCTCAAAATTACACAAAGTGAGTAATCTTCCTACGACGACATGAGGACAAAGGTACAACATTCAACTAAAGAAGATACAGTAAGTCATACTGAGCTTAGGATCTCTGATCACATAACTTCTGTCAAATTGACAGATTTTATGAATCACTGCATCCTACGTAGGGGCAGAAGCTTGAGGTGGATTTCTGGAACTCCTCTGCATAACGCTCTTTGGACTGAGGACTTTCAGCAGTCAAACAACAGAAGCTGGCTTTTTTTGGTTATATGAGAAAATATAACATTTCACTTAATCAAGCAAAATCTCATCATTCTAAGCAGAATCCCTAGATGGAAAACTGCTTCTAAACGAGCAGCCCATTTCTTTCCTCATGAGGCACACTTACCTCCTGGAGAAGGAATGTCTCACCAAGTTTACCCCGACCCACCTCGTAAAATAGAGCTTCACCACATGCAGCCAGCTTCTTTTTTCAATTTCTAGACTCAATTTTGAGGCAGAGATCACTTCTAAAGTTTTCCAGCTCTTCCCCTCTATCATTTTATGAATAATATATAGAAAAAGAACAGCACACTTAGAGTAAGAGGAGACTCATTGCATTGTGATATTTAGTTTGAAGCACAGTGCAATTGAAATTGCAGCCCAGTTATTTTGCAGATAATGAAATATCTTTTATTTAATGCTAGTGAAAGTCCCATATAAATGTCCTATGAAAGGCACATAGTTTGCTCACATGTCCTTGAAATTTAGATAAGGCTCTCATTGCAGCCAAGCTCTTTTCACTTCCTTTTGATATCATAGCCAATTTTATATTATTTGTGTATGATTTGTTTAATGTCTCCTCCACTTCCTCCCCTTTTCCACCCCACAAGACTTTTAACTCCTTGAACATAAGGATCGTGCCATCAGTATCGATCAAGAGTCAGCAAACTTCCCTGGGCCAAAGCCATCCCACCTGTTTTTGTGTGGCCTGCAAACTAAGAATTTTTTTACATTTTTAAACTGTTGTAAAAAAAATCGAATTCAAGAGAAGAAGAATATTTTTGGCATGTAAAAATTGTATAAAATTCAAGTATCAGTGTCCACAATGTTTTATTGGCACACAGCCATGCTCATTCATGCATCTGTGCCTGGTTTCCTGCTAGAATGGCAGAGTTGAGTAATTACAACAGAGAGAGTACAGCCCATTAAGTCAAAAATATTTACCATCTGGTCCTTTATGGTAAAATTTGCTAATTCTGGGTCTAGAGCACGACTGCGCCTCTAGCACCTGAAACTTAATAAGTGATTATTAACTATGTGTTGAATTAACTGTGAATGAATGCATGTGAATGAACATAACTGGACACAAGAAAAAGAGAAGACAATAAAGTCTCAAATATTTCACTGAAAACTAAAAACAAATGAAAATTGGAATCAAAACAGATTTCGTGGTTTAGGGAGAGATGAGCAGAGTCAGATTTGCTAAAAATATCAGTAAGTTACTAATCTTATAACGTGAATGAAATTAGAGCTTTGAAGAGGTATATGGTGGGGGGGGGGGCGGAAGGGAAAGAGACTCTGAGAAGTTCAGAATGCCCTCCCACACTCATCATGCTAACCATCTTCTTGAATTATTCAATGCTGGCTGGTGAGATAGTTGATATTCACTCACAGGACAAATATTAAATTAAATGATGAACACAAGTATACTTGATGTTTCTTCCAACCTAACAGAATAGAGAGAAATTATTTTTTGAAAAGTATATTTGGGAGCTGGCCCAGTGGCACAGTGGTTAAGTTCACACATTCCACTTTGGTAGCCCAGGGTTCACCGGTTCGAGTCCCCGGTACAGACCTCAGCACTGTTTGTCAAGCCATGCTGTGGCATGCATCCCACATAAAATAGAGGAAGATGGGCATGGATGTTAGCTCAGGGCCAGTCTTCCTCAGCAAAAAGAGGAGGATTGGCAGCAGATGTTAGCTCAGGGCTGATCTTCCTCAACAAAGGAGTATATTTGCTAACCTCAATGTTTCTCCCAGCTGTAGATTAATAGTATTATGATAATATACACACACACAAAAATTACTACTAATGGCAATTCTGTCTATGTTGTCTTTCAGAACATAAGAAGTAAACTGGCCTCCAGTGCCTCTGGCCTTCCTGTGGAAAGCAGACAAAGAGTGTATGAAGACTGTTCAAATATGTCAGAGACTTCCTCCCATGATTCTTTCTATGATTCCCTATCAGACATGCAGGAAGAAAGCAAGAATACTGACTTCTTCCCTGGGCTATCTGCTTTTCTCAGCCAGGAAGAGATAAACAAGAGTCTTGACTTGGCCCGGAGATCTATAGCCAACTCTGAGACAGAAGATTTTGATTCAGAAAAGGAGATCTCACAGATTTTCAACACCTCTCCTCGAAGCCTCTGTGAAAAACCTTCTCATAAGGAGACCAAATTGGGTAAGCCAACCTCCTCAGGAAGACCTCATGATAACAGGCCACCACCTGTCCAGCCTCTGCCAGAAGAACAAACTGAGCCTATCTCTTCACCTGTTTCAAAGAGGAAGCCTGCCATGTCACCCTTGCTTGCCAGCCCCAGCTATATCCGGAGTCTGCGAAAGGCTGAGAAACGTGGTACAAAGACTCCCAACACAAGTGTAAAGCCCAAACCAGCGTATCAAGGTAAGGCTGGCCCCCAGAGCCAGCTGTGTGACAAGGCAGCTAATCTCATCGAGGAGCTGACATCCATATTTAGAGAAGCGGCAAAGCCAAAAAACAGAAGCCCAAATGGGGAGTCCTCATCACCAGACAGTGGGTACTTGTCTCCTAAAAACCAGCCGTCAGCCCTGATGAGTGCCTCAGCCAGCCAGAGCCCCACTGAAGACCAACAGGAGTTGGAAGCAGAGGCCAAGTTACCCAAGGCCAGGCATTGCTACCAGACAGACCAGAAGGTGGCAATGCCATGCAGTACCATCTCTCCCCCACAGCCCCAGAATGCTCTTCGCTTCCCTTCAGCTCCTCGATTCATCCAGAAGCTGCGGAGCCAAGAAGTGGCAGAAGGAAGTAGAGTTTATTTGGAGTGCAGAGTCACAGGAAACCCAACTCCTCGAGTCAGGTAAGAATTTTTATTATGAATATCAAATGATTTTGTGTTGACTTTTGGTTTTAATTTAATGTGGGAGGAGAAGAGATTTCCTGTATAGTTAGCCCTCTGGAGCCTGAGGTAGTGTTTTCAAGTATCTGCAAGGCAAAGCACTCCAGAATTGCAAATACTAGTTCTACCAGTTGTCCCTGGAGGGGTATATCTGTTGTCATGAACCAAGTGCTACTGATTAAGGGGAGGGCAAAGGACTGGACAGGCAGAGAGGAGCACACACAAGCTGTTATATAAGACTCCAGCATTAATAGCAACCAAGGAGACTTAAAACGTGCAACTGATTTATTCCAAGTACTGGGAAAAGTGCGTGCATAATTTGAATCTGAGTGGCGGAAGGTCATTGAAAGAGTGGCCAGGACTAGAAGGCGTCTGGCAGTACAGAGATGAAAGGCACAGGAGTGCAGAGGTCAACCACGAGATTAGCCCCCAAATAGATATTCTGGTCTAAGGAATGGGCTAAATCATCACACATTCACTTAGGATAAGCACACCCACACACCGTCAATGTGATGTGAGCAGGGAAGGCAGAACTTTTCTAACAAAGACAGATTCATTTGCCAAATGGGGAGCATTACAGGTCTGTTACTTACACATAGGTTCTGGCCACCGGAGCGTGGGTAAAGCAAAAAAATAACAATTAGGTGAGTGTGCAGTTAGTTGTTAGGAGTCAATAAACACACCGCCGTGTCCATTATAATTTCTATACATTCTTCGCCTTTAATTGCAGAGTTTACGCTTCTGTGCAAAGAGGTTAAGAGGAGGGACCCTGGAGTAGACTACAGGGTTTCCGATCACGGCTCCACCTTTTACCAACTGCGTCTCCCAAGCAAGTTACTTGGTGACTCAGTTTCTTCATCTGTGAAATGGGGATTATAATAATACCTACCTCATTCTATTTTATGATGACTAAAGAAAACAATATGTGAAGAAAAATAAAACAGTGTCTTGCATAGTGACCACTGCATTAGCATCACCTATGATTTTTATGATTTCTCACTTCTTAATTTCATATGCCAGAATGAAAATAACCTTTCAAGTCAGGATTATACTACCAAAAAATGGGCCATTCATTCATTGACTTTGAAAGTTTTGCTTTTATGAATAAAGAGTATTTTACCTAAATTACGTAAATATAAAAAAGTAAATTCAAAATTATGAAATTTGGCAAAATGGTAGAGTAGGCATTTGGCTGAAAATTGCAACACTGGTACTTTCTTATTAATATAGCATTTTATAATCACATACTCTCCCTCTCACCCTATATTCTCTAATGCACACTTTGCTAGAGTTGGTTTCTCAGTTTAACAAATCATCGCTCACAAACCTGAAGTAGGCGCTAGCGTTACTGGCTGAAAAGTGGTGTAATTGGAGACAGGAAACTTTTTTTCCCCAACCTGTTTGTTCACCTACTTCACTTTGAGTCATTTTTTACAGTAATTTTACTGTAGTTCTTTCAGACACTGACAGCAGGGGGCAGTAAAAAACTTCTTAATGGGTTCATCTAATTAAATATGTCATCCTAAATTCTGCATTTATATATCTTTTCCATAAAGAACTTTTCTTATCATTTTGCCTATGATACAAATGAAATTGAGTATTTCTTTTGGATTCTATTTAGATTTTTTTTAAACCCACTAATCTTGGGAATAAATAATTCTTCATTAGAAATACATTCACATGTCACTCAAAACAGTCCCATAGATTTCCAAGTTACATGTGGCTCCACTTACATTTACCTCCAAAATAGGCCCTTTCTAAAGGTATTACCGTGGCAAGTAAGTATACCATACCCTTTCAAAAGTGACAAAAAGCAATCCATTTAACATCAAATGATTAAATCAGCTGAGCAGACTGTAATTACTGCATTAAATTTCACTTAACCATTTGGTAGTTTGCAGGCCATCAAATTCATGCTTCTGCCTCTTTTCTTTTTACGGGGGAAAGGGAATATTAATTTAGTTAGTAGCTACAGAATTATTAACTTAACTAATGTTCTCTTGTCATCTCCCAGTCTGCCAAAGCCCACAACCAAAGTTCATTAGTCATTAAGAATTGTGCCCTTCTGGACTAATTAAGTCTTCGATGAGAATGCTCCGTTGTTTAAAGTTAGCTGTTCATTTCTGTATTCTTTTGAGTTTTTTGTTTTGGGGGGTGTTGTGTGGGTGTCTTGGGGTTTCTTATGAGGAGAGTGTAAATGTGCATTGGATTTTCTTAATTTCTGCTCCAAATACCTTACTCCTCTCTGCCACATAGTTGTAAGTGCACCATAGTCTCAGAACATTGAGACATATGACAGTCTAAAGAGAAAATCTGCTTTGAAGGAAATTTTATAGAAGAAAACCTTTAATAAACAGTTTCCTGCACTGGGGCGTTTTAGAACCTGGCTCAGACAGAGACTGGGCAGACATATTGATTGGCAGAGCACTTCCTAAGGTCCCAGAGGCTGGTGACAGGACTTGCGGAGAGCAAGGAGATGTCAGGGGAACTTGGAGCAAGCAATAAGCAGAGGCCCAACAGACACTGACTGGTAAGCACAAAGACAGTCAGTGTTGAGAAGTCAGCAGCTGTACTAAGAGGTGAGTGAGGTGTGGTGTGGGTGTCAATGGTAAGATCCGGACTTACTTAAAAAGAATGCACCACAGGAAAAGATGGCCACTATCAGGATCCAGACACAGGGACTGGAGCACAGGGAGAAAAGTCTACCCTTCAAGAGTTTAATTAAGGAAAAGGCAAGGCTACTGCTCCAAAAGGACAAAAGGACAGAGCAGGAAATAGGCATTCAGACATGATTAAATGAGGCAGGACTTTAGTCACTAAACTTGTGCTAGGTCCAGAACAGGGAAACGAACTGCTACACTGACATGGCTGGGCTGCTAATATGCTGGCCTGGAGCTTCTTAAATTTGGCCTAAATAGAAACCACTTGGTCTGGGAGGCTGGGCATAGTGAAACCTACAGATGTGGACAGAGTAACCCCAGCTAAAGGGAAGATCGATGGAAACAGTGGGATCGAAGCCAAGCCAGTCATTTCAAGGCATTTCTACTTCATATGCAATCACTTCACCCCCCTACAAATATAACTGGCACAAATACCAGTTATAACCACAAACAGCACTGAAAAAATTCTGTTTTTTCTCCTCTACTCTTGCATAGTTCCAATAAAACCCCAGCAAAAGAGAGAAAAGCTGTTGGAAGAGAAGCTTATGTATAATAATTGAAGTTATATACAATTCAGATACTACTCAAATTATATGCAAATTTTTAGCTGACAATTTGAATTATTACATTAAATAAAATCAGGTCAGAATTCTTCCATTTTTCTGATTGTATCCTAGTGTTCCATACTTCTCATGCACCACTTTATAACAGTAGAAAGGCGTGTTCTCTCATATCACTCGTCTTCCCTGTTCTCTCCACTCTCAACTTTTGTGAGTTGGTGAAAAATTCCTGAAGAATTTTAGTTCAAAATTACTCCTAGTCCTATAAAAATGAGGCCTTATATTTTCATTTTATACTTTTAATTGTACCCATATTTCATTATGTCAACCATGTATCCTAAACTACTTAAATAAAACGAAACTAAGAAAACTATAAAATGATTAGCCTAATAACAGAAAAATAATTAATGAGTCCTAGAGACAGGACTATAACTCGGGTCTCTGACTCCTGACTGTGTAGTGCAGTGACTCATGGGAAGACGTAGCCAGTGTCACTGCTGTTTTGCTTGTTGTGCCAGGCTTACTACGAGCTCCAGGAATGGAGATGAGTGGAACTGCCATCTCTAAAAATCTGGGGTTGGAATTCATATTCCAAATATCTTTAAAGTAAATGGTATCCTGATTATTTCTAAGACATTTTTCTATATTAAAAAAAACATAACCATAACCACTCATGGTCCTTCTCTTTTATTTTGCAGTAAGTTCATACTGCAAAGTAAGTCAATCGACGTAAAGCAAAAAAATGTTCACAGGGGCTTTGGGGAGGCAGATATTCTACACCAAATAACCACAAACAAATCATTCCCAATTGTGAACAGTAGTGCAAACCATCCTCTTATTCAAACTATATTGCAAAGTAAGTGTGAACAGACTCATGCGGAAAAAAAAAATTTTTAAACACCCACTTATGGTAGTAAAAGTAGAATCCAGCAATAGCCCAAGCATGTTTAATATTCTAAGTACAATTACTCATATCTAATCATAAGATGCCTATTAGGTCATCATTATTAGCCTAATAAAGTCTCAATTAATATATGTAATTAAAAGAAATTAAATTCTTTCTTTTTATAATCAAAAGCCAGCACCTCCAATGCCTCCAATTAGTTTGCGTTAGCGAGACTTTGATCATCATCAAAAGCCAAAACAAGAGGATTAGCCATATCAAACCTATGCAACACTGTCTGTAGAGATTTCCATCCCCTCAAAAGAAAATAGAAATAGAAACAAGCCACCGATTCACTTTTCTTCTAATAGTGTCAGTATGTGGCATAGTATATCCCATTTATTGACCATTTTGGTTTGGAAAAATGTGGCGACAGCACCACCAGCCAGTAGGTTATGAATATAGAGTGCTTGCAAAGGTAAGATTCAGATGGCTTAGCACAGAAGTATTGTTTTTATTAAAGAATATTGTCAACAGTGAGACACCAGATAGTACCATCAGATTATTACTATGCAAAATTGACAATACAAGTCTTGTTACTGCAACATGGAATGTAAATAAGTACAAACAATTTGGGGGACAATTTTGTGATACACAATACAGTTAAAGATGTCCATACACTAAACTTTATATAATACCCAATTGCCTACTTGACATCTCTTGGATATCTAATACACATATCAAATTTAATATATCCATAACTGAACTTTAGATTTTCTTCTCCTCGAAAAACTTTCTCTTTCCAAATCTTCTCCATGTAAAGAAATGACAAAGCCCCTTCAAACTGTTCAAGGAAAA